TAATTATAGGTATGTTAGGCCGGTAAGAGACCTTTATAGGCAACAGCTGGGTGACTGGGGAGGTCGCGCTGGGGGCTTATTCCTCTCCTCGTTCCTCCCTTTTTGGGTTTGTTCATTTTCTTGGCCACCTTTTTGTAATAAATATTGGGGTTTTTTGTTGAACTAGCAACGGTGTCCGTTTTTCGTGTCTGTATATCTCAGACCTTTTTCCCTGATAAAGTAACCCCTCCCCGATACAGTGTGACTCGCGGGTCTGCCTGCCTTCCTCGGCCGCCACCGAGCTGGTCTGCCTGCCTTCCCCACCGCCACGGGCTTTATCTTTCCTCACCATTTTACTGTTTATTGCCTTCCCCGCCGTCTCGTGTGCCCCATCTAGCCCCGACAGCCTCACTCATTCCCCGGCTCCACCCGAGCACGTTCCATCGCGGCTCTTGGAGCCTTGGAGCTCCCGGGGGTGAGGTGGGGCTGAGCCCCTTCCCAGTGCTCCCAGTGTGCCCAGTCACCCCCCAGCACCCCAGGGAGGGCTTCGGGGGGACACAGCACACAAGGGCTGCTGGGGGGTCCCACCTCACTTCTGTTTGTTCTGTTCTTCCCAAACTGGGCAAAACAGATTTTTGGATTTTCTACCCGAACTCTGTCCCCCTGGTGCCCCCCAGGAGCGGCTCTACCCCCCCAGAACGGGACCGTGTCCTGACCGATGGAGCTGAGAGGGACGAGGGGGTGTCAGACAAGTGGGGAAAAAAACCCCTAAATGACCAGGGGGAGTCAGCTCCTCCTGCCCTGCCTGGTTCTGACACTCCCATGGCTCCAGCCTTTTTGCCACCCCCACTCCCCTGGGAGATGCTTCTTGGGGAAGCAACACCAAATATCACCTGTCACGTTTTAGTCTCACCCCCTAAAAACCTCAATCAGAGGCTTTTTGAGTTGATTTAATAAATTAATTTGATTAATTTAATAATTTTCTGCCATTCGGCCCAACCCTGCGCGTGTTCCTGCACCTCCAGGTGAGCGCCCTCCTCCTCCTCCTGGCTGGGGACACCCAAACCCTTTCCCCAGGCACAGGGGAGGCTGCAGAATATAGAGATATGTTTAAAAAAAACCCCAAAGAAACATAAAAGGCCTGGTTGGTGCCATTTCCTGGGACCGGACGCGCGTTGGTCACGAGGTGAGAAGGTGTCCGAGGCTGGTGTCACTCTCGGGACATGCCAACGACCTCCAGAGCCACCATGGCTGGGGAAATGGGTCATGCCGATGTAAGAAATCCTGGGAATGGGCCTTCTCCAGCTGAGAAATGTCCTGGTGAGTGTATTTTGGGGGAAAAAAGGCTTATTTCAGGCCCTGGGAAGAGTTTTGGGTCCGTTACCTTTGGGGTCCCTTTGCTTCTCCATCCCCACGTTCAGGTTTCCAAGCTCATGGGGTGGCCTTTGAAATGGGGTCTGGGCTTGTCTGGAGCGGGACAGGGACAGGAGAGGCTGGAAAATCTCCAGAACTGGAACAGTTTTGTTTCCCAGACCCTTCACTGGGTGGCCAAAAGGGGATCCCAGGAAGCCCCAGGGGAGCCACCACCCCTGGGAGGGCAGGGAAGGGGCCGAGCCCCGTTCGGACCCCGGAGGTGTCGAGGGCTGGAGGGACCCGTGGCCACCAACTCCCAGCTGGAAACTGA